TCTAAGTTTGGGCCTCTTTCAGCAGAATGTGATATATCTTCCGGCTCACATTTATGTGACAATTTCCTCAATATTAGCTGGAGATTCACAAATAGAAAATCATTCTAATTATCCCAGCCTCTCCGTGTTAACTTCAAATTTTGTACTTCCCAATATGTGCAGATAAGATTCCTCATAATAAGCAGTGCTTTTTTCCCCTGCTACAGCACGTTGCATTCCCACAACGCTTGCTTTTTTGTTACTGCAAATTTGGGAGGTGTTTTCAGGTCCCAGAAGTCCTGTCTGATACTTAAAAGTTGCCTTTAGGGGAAAACCGGTGTAGAGCCGGTATATTTACAATTGAGCATTTATAAACAATCGTGTCTTTTCAGCAGTCTAACATCATGGGTAGGACTTGCTGCAACTTAACATTGCTCTGTAGGTAATGCCATCGCAGGACCATTTTTCCGTAATCCACTTGCCAGTACACCTGATGCTTGGGTTTCCAGTAATTTTGTATAACTAATCTAATAAAGACAGTCGAAGAAGCTTCTTGGACGAGAAGCGAAACGTCTTCCAAGAAAAAACCAAGTCCAGTTGCCGCTTGGAAAAGCACCTTTGGGATAATCCAATAAAGACTCTCTCACTGGGTCTGGGGACTGAGTGGGTGATATAAAAATCCCATAGAGCAATACGTGATAAATGTCCAATTTATGTATGTTAGCGTTATATCTAACAGGAGATATGACCCACATCTTTGTAAGTAAAAGGACACAGCAGCAGCAGCAGCCCCTGATCTTTTGATGGAGTGGCAGGTGCCTCTTTCCATCACCTGCAGCTCAAACGCCTTCCCCACAGATTGACAAACTCCACAGGGGATTCGTTACGGGGGGGGGGGGGGAAGCATTGGGTGCCCCCCTGTCGTGTCGAGAGATCATCCGGCTGGTGGAACATTGACTCAAGGGCTGCAATTTGTTCCTTCCTTCCCAGAGTTGGTCATTACGACGGTAGTTCTGGACTCCTGCCTCGCCCTCCAAGCGTAGATCCTGTCTTTGGAGTCATCTCCCGTCTGAGGACAAAACGGACTCCGGTGACTCAGCTTTCAGCAGCCAGCTCAGCCCAGGGAAGGCAGCGGCTTCGGCCTTGCCAGTTGGCAGCAAGGGACAGCCTTGTCCTCTGGACTCAAAGTCACAGGGGCTGCCTGCCTGGCTGCCAGGTGGTTGCAGTCAAGCTAACCCTGGCACCACCCTGGATGGGCAGGGAGGGGGTCCCGGTTCAGATAGACTTAAGTCAGGCTTTTGAGGCTCTCAGATCCCTCCCCAAATCCCTCTTCCCCAGGCAGGGCAGAGGTCCCTGCTTGGGGTTGGGGCTTCCAATTTTCATGTGGGTTGTGGTTTATGGGCCTTGCTGGGTGGTAATCTTGAAGAGCAAGCAGAGCGGGGCTCGGCTGAATTGGCTGAGCAGTATGACGGTCCTCAGCGACCATTTTAACTTACGATGGACCCCACCTCAAAAAGGGCATTTAAACAGCAGATCAAAGTTCCAATGCTGCCCCCCCCCCCAATCGTATTTTAGGCCCTTAGTAAATGGCTCTCATTTATGGCCATTGGCAGCATCCTACGGTCATGCGACTGTGGTTTATATAATTTTGGTATTTACTTCCAGTTTCTGCCCCCAAAAAAGCCAAATGTGGACAATGGGGTCAATTAAAGACGGCCGTGTTCATTTAAACACAAAAAAAGTAAAATTGGATGTGATTGTGCATTTATCTGCATAACAACTGGCACAACTTACAACCGTAATTCTGGGGTCAGTTACAATCATACGTCAAGCAATATCTGTAAAGTAGACTAGGAAATGGACAAAACCTTCGAGGCGTGGGCAGGGTGACCCCTTATTTACTGTGGCAAAGAAGGAAAACCATCCGAATATAAGGAGGGAGGACCAAGAATCCTGCTTGAGGCAAAAAGGCCTTTAGCTCTGTAAGCACACTGGATGGACAGGCGTTTTCTGGGCAGGGGGCCTGGGTGAGAAATCGGGATGGAGGGCCACGCAGTCAATGCGGGAAAGTAAAAAGATATAAGCCCCTGGATTTGTGCAGAGAGGAAAGAGGAAAACAGTAACCCCGCAATGAAGTTGCTGAAATGGATTCCTCGGGCTTATTTTCCATTCTTTCATGGAGGTGTGGAGGCCAACAAAGGGCCCAGTACATCAGGACTGGAGCATTGCAGGTGCTGCTGTTCTTTCCTCACGGGCACTCGGCATTACCTCAGGTTGGCTTGACCTCAGGAAATAGCAGATCAGACCATTAACTTGGCAGTAGAAACGATTTGGAGTACACCTTTCCCTCTGCTCCACGTAAATATCTGGCAGTGCATACAGCTGGGTGCCAATATTAGTTCATCCAGTAAAATTGGAGTGAGTGAGGGGGGACGAGTGGATATCGAAGGGAAAAATAAAACTCTGAAGTCGAAAGGAACCACAAGGATTGTCTAGTTCAACCTGTGAACTTCTGGCTGCCAATATTATTCTGCAAATGTGCCTAGAATCGTACGCAGGAGGTTGAGTTCTGCTCTCTTAGTCACCCGTTAAGATTTTTCCATTTGGAGTAAACGGTGATCTCACTGCCTCTATTGACAAACTTGAAGAAACTTATTGCTGGATTATCCCTTTTATCCCTCTAGCTCTCTGCCTTTCTGACCTCGTTCCTATATTTCTGAACTGAAGGTTTACAACTTGGTCATTTCACCTTTCTTCCATTTGCAATAAACATTCCTCTTTGGTGAGTCGCCGCTACTTCCCACCCTGGTTCTTTTGGGGATGGGCAGATAAAAGGGAGAATACCTGACGAACAGGTCAACATTCATTAGGACTGCATTGTCTTTTGGGGCAGCTGTGACAACGCACTGCTCAAGCACTGCTCAAGGGAGATCCACAGGACTTTTAGATCCCCCTCAGAGTTACTACTGTTTAGCCAGGTGCCACCTGTTCTGCACCTGCGCATTTGGTTTCCCCTGACTTGACGTTTTTACTACTGTAATGCATCTTGTTGCATAAGGTCCAATGCTTCAGTCTGTCAAGATCCTTCTATTTTCCAAAATGTTAGCAATTCCACCCGGCTTCGTGTCATCAAAACATCATTGTTATAAAAATATCATGTTAGCAACTCAAGCCACTGAGAAGTATCCAAGGCAGCGTTGCAGACAGAGAGAGGTTTTGGTAACTTGAACCTCCAGTATGTTTTAAGAGTAGGAAGGAAGGAAGCCACTGATTATTTCTTTCCTTCCTTCTCAGGGTTTGATGACTGAACTTCAAACATGGCCCAAACTCTGCTCTGGAACTTGCTCTCGGTTCCCCTTCAGTTTCATATGCTGGCGTGTGACGGAAAAGGTCATTTCGTAATAGATAGCCCCCATTATCGCAGTTAACACACCTTGAGAACTGAGCAGAATCAAGCCTAACATTCATGCTTTAGACCAAGGGTCTTCAAACGTGACAAGTTTGAGACTTGTGGGCTTCAACTCCCAGAATTCCTGAGCTAACGTGACTGGAAGAGGAACTCTGGGAGTTGAAGTCCACAAGTCTTAAAAGCGGTCAGGTTTGAAGGCCCCCTGCTTTAGACAAAGGCTCTTTAGTGGACCAACTTTGCCAAGGCTGGTGTGCCGTTCTAATATTTATCTTCTTGTAGACCTGTGCCTAGAGCAGGGGTGTCCAACCAGCCGGCTGAGGAATTCTGGGAGTTGAAGTCCACAAGTCTTAAAGTGGCCCAGGTTGGACACCCCTGGCCTAGAGGATACAATGGAGGCATTTGGTGGAGCAGGGCAGCTCCAGAGAACTCTATGGACCAATTTGGATCCAGCAGCAGGGAAGATGGGGGAACTTTTTGTTCTCTTTCAGCCTCCAAAGTTGCTGTTGAAAAGTGCACGGCATCATGGGGGTGGGGGATTCCCTTGAATGAGATTACACTTGGTGACTTCATTGGACAGGTACGTGTAGGTTGCTTGAACGGAAGCATGATTGCCACTGCTTTCTCCTGGTTACTTGTCTTGGTCCGCCTTACAGCTCCAACACCACCTTAGTTGTCCACAAATCCAGCCTTGTCATTCTCCACGTTCTCCTCTTAGGAGATTATTCCAACGGGGCAAGCCTTCTGCACCACCTGTATGTGTCCAGGTGGCAAGCAAGGCCACACCTGGGCCATAATAAAGGTGGAGGATATAAAGGAACCATCTTTGCTTCACTTCCGATTCAGTTCCAATCTCGTTTCTTTTATTACAGTCCCAGACCCAGTGCATAAGTTAAAGTACAGCAGAAAGACACGAATGGAGAACTTTTATAATATAACATAGAAACTTTGGTCAACCCACAGCTGTGGGAAGAAACTTGGCAACAACGTTTGCTTCACTTGGTAGAAGAGAAAACCGCATGCAAAACCGACTTTCTTTTTTTTCGTAGCAATTTTGACAAATGAGGCTCCGGCAGCTCCGAAGCAAGTGGGCGAAACCGCCGCTTTCCGCGCTCAGAGCAGCCCGGGCGGGCCTCGGGGGAGGGGGCGCCGCCGGGGGAACAGCCGCAGCCTTCCCAATCTCCGGGAAGAAGGTCGGCCCCGCCCACGAGCCCTTCCGGCCGGCGGCGCCGCCCCCCTCCTCCTCGGCCTCGCGGCCGGCCGCAGACGGGGCGGGGCGCGCGGCATCACGTGGCCCCGGCCTATAAAAGGGAGTCCCGCGCGCGCCAGCCAGAACCGGTGAGCGGCCGAGGGCGAAGGCGGGCTCGCGGGCGGCTGCCGGGCGGAGGCGAAGGCGAAGGCGCGCACGAGGCCGGTCGGCGGTCCGTCTCCGGCGCGGAGTCCTCGTCGGGAAGGGAATCCCCCCCCCTCTCGACCGTCCGCGAGGCCCGCGTGACGCGCGGCTTCCCCTCGCAGGAGCGGCGGCGGGTGGGCGCGGTGGCGGCGGCGGCCATGGCGGGGTTGCGGGGCTCTCCGCGGAGCCGGTCCGCCTCGCTCCTCTGGTAGCGCCGGCCGCCGGGCGGGCGGGCGAACCAACCCCTGGGCCTCATGGCGTCGGCCGTCCCCACGGCGCTGGCCACGGGCCTGGCCACGGAGGCGGCGACGGCGACCGGCACGGCGGCGGCGGCGGCGGCGGCGTCGGGCCCGCTGAGCGCCTTCCTGTGGATGCTGGTCTTGGGCTTCGCCATCGCCTTCGTGCTGGCCTTCTCGGTGGGCGCCAACGACGTGGCCAACTCCTTCGGCACGGCGGTGGGCTCGGGCGTGGTGAGCCTGCGGCGGGCCTGCGTGCTGGCCTCGGTCTTCGAGACGGCCGGCTCGGTGCTGCTGGGCGCCAAGGTCAGCGAGACCATCCAGAAGGGCCTCATCGACGTGAACCTCTACGACACCACCCCGGAGCTGCTCATGGCCGGCTCGATCAGCGCCATGTTCGGTGAGGAGGGGCGAAGGGGGAGGTCATGGGGGGGGCAAGGAGGGGGGCTCGCTAAGGCCCGCTCCCCTGATACGCTCTTCCCTTGGGGGGGAGGGGGAGGGGGGTCTGGTTGGGGGGAGGGGTTGGGCAGGAGGGGGGGCTCATTAAGGCCAGCACCCTTGACCCCCCCTTCCCCTCCCAGGCTCGGCCGTGTGGCAGCTGGCCGCCTCCTTCCTCCGGCTGCCCATCTCGGGCACCCACTGCATCGTTGGGGCGACCATCGGTTTCTCGCTGGTGGCCAAAGGACAGAAAGGGGTCCAGTGGTCGGTGCTGCTGCAAGTCGGTAAGCAGGGAACGGTGGTGGTGGGGGGGAGGTCAGGCTGGAGGGGTTCGGCACCTCAAAGGCATCCTGTAAATGGCGCCCCTCCTTCCTGACCCTCCGCCCCCTTCTCTCTCTCTCTCTCTCTCTCTCTCCCCAGTCTTGTCCTGGTTCGTCTCCCCGCTTCTTTCTGGCATAATGTCCGCCCTGCTGTTCTTCCTGGTCAGGCTGTTTATCCTCAACAAGGTATGTGGGATGCCAAAGGACAGCCGAGAGCTCCCTGCCTGCCCAGGGCAGATAAGACCTAATCGTGGGCATCAGTGGCCCGGAAGGGACCACGTGGGCTGCCCCGGATAGCCCGGCTGCTGCTGCTATCTTTAGCTGGTTGCAGGCCCCTTTCACCCGGGGAAAAGAGCTTTTTAAGCACCGAATGTTTTACAGGAAGCTTGGCCTGCCTGTAGGTGGTTAGGGATGAGTGCTGCCTAATGGGAGTCGGTGGGGTGGGGTGAAATACAGTGGTTTAAGACGTTCTCTGCTGGCTTCTTAGCCACCCACGTGTAGAAAACCAGTCTTCTCCCAACAGATCTGGGGTCTGCCATGTAGCCTGCCTTTTGCAAAAGTTTGGTGTGGAACAGCGGGCTAATAATCTACACTGGGATGCTGCTCTGGTTGAGAAAAGCGCCTCCCTCTCGCTATTACAATCTCAGTGAAACAAGTATATGGGGCGGTGAAGGAATATTTTACTTAAACATCAAAATCTTTCTTCACTGCCCTGCATCCTTGTTTAACCGATGGAGCAGCGATGTGTGATTTACGTGTATTAGGTTGCAAACTTAGAATTTTAGAGTTGGGAGTTTCTGTCCAGGTGCTCAGATGGATGGGGACACCCCAACAACGCTCTGGGGACACCAGTTTGGGTGTTCGTTGTGTGTTCTCTGTCTGGCGAAGGGCAGCCGCCGCCTCCTTTTGGTAACGCTTTCCCAGTTGCCAAGAGTTTAGTCCAGGGAAGTTTTCCCTTAATACCTGTAGTCCGCCACTTACAACCTCAGCTGAGCCCCAAATTTCTGTTGCCAAGTGAGTTTTGCCTCCTTTTTTGTGACCTTTTTTGCCACAGTTATAATTGAATCCCTGCAGTAGTTACTCTGCCTTCTCAGCTGACTTTGCACGTCAAAAAGTCACAAATGCTGATCACAAGACCCATTGTTAGTATGAATCACTTGTCAGACGCCTGGATTTTGATTACCTGATGACGGGAATGCTGCAACTGTTTTGTAAATGTGAAAAATGGTTGTCATTTTTTTCAGTGACGTCACTTTGACTGTTGACTGTTGTAAGTTGGGCCTACCCGTATTGATTTTTGTTTAAACTTTAGAGTATCCTGCACTGGAGCTATGTGGCTTCTCTTCACGACTAGCCCTTTGAAGCTTTCCCGAGATTAGGCCTGGGAGGAGAAATGGTTTTTCCACCCACCGTCCATCTCATGGTTTTCCGGGAGGACCACAGAAAGGTTGGGTTGGGATGGGAGAGGCTGAAATAGCCGCAGAATTCTCCAAGTTTTCCACAGCAATTGCAAACTTTTAGGAAGTTTGTATAGTTCTGAAATTAGTCAATAGCATTTTTTTTTCCAGAAGATTCAAAGATAGTAAATACTTCCTTTTTCTGCCCTGTAGGTAGCAAGATTAATGTTAGCCCTTTAAAATAGGCCCACGTGCGTTTGCCTTGTATTTAGAGAAGTTAAAATTCTGGATAACGTTCTGTAGTGACTCATGTCATAAAATCTACTTTTCGTAGGAAGATCCTGTTCCAAATGGGTTGCGTGCACTTCCCGTTTTCTATGCTTGCACAATTGGGATCAATCTCTTCTCAGTCATTTATAGTGGAGCACCCTGTAAGTAAAGCTTCAAATATTGAGGTTTAATTTTATAATCCTTTATGAGCTTCTTAATCAAACACAGAATTTTACCCCTTTTGCTTTACAGGAGCGAACTCTTCTAGAAGGCAACTGGTCTGGGCCATTACAGAAAGCTGCAGGCTAGCATACATACGCTGAGTTCAACCTTAGATAGTTATCCTGTCCAAGAGGCCTGTTCACTCTGTAAATTACTAGAGTCCTTTCTTCTTAAATCCTCACAGGAGCGACGGTTTCTGACTTGTCGGTGGTGTTCCACGCCCCCCCCCAGCCCCCCCCCCCCCCATTGGTTGCCTGCAGACTGATCTGACCTTCCACTTTCCTTCTCGTGCTGCCTTCTGCTGAAAGCCCAGGATTCTAGCTGCTGCTAAACCAGAACGTTTCCCACACCCTTCTAGTCAAATCCCTATCAGCTAGGAGGCTCTGGGGTGGATTTCTCACTCTGGCTCTCCACGCCTTGAATATTAGATTCCAAAGAATTTCCTCCCGCCTTCCCCGCTGTCCAAGACATGCTGGCAACAAGAGCGTGGAAGAGGAATGTCATACTTCTGTGCTGGAACCTTCTGAGTCTCTCGAAATAATAAATGGGGGTTTTGGTGGGAGAAAGAAGCTCGATTGCACATTTCTTGTATAAACCCAGGGAGATGTCCTATTTACCAAGGGCATTTCTGCTGGAATGCGGCCTGGTGCAACAGGTCTAAACTCTGCAGGTAGTTGAATTAGCTTTTAAGTGCCTGAAACTGCCTTTTTCCCTTGCATGCTTGCAGTGTGCCAGAGCTTTTGGGTACATTACTTAAAATGTATATGCAAATAATAAGATACCTAAGCCGTAACCATCTCACCTGGAATTTATTCCCAAAATCCTTTTAGCAACCTAATTTTTCTAATCCTGTAAAAATGGTCCCAGTGTTCAGTTTTTAATTTTTATTACTTATTTTACATGAGATGCCAGTTGAGAAATAGATCCAATTCTGAGACCAAATTTGTGGATAAGGATCAGCCACGATTTCTTGATTTCCTTTTCTTGCCATTTCTAAGAGAGGCCATAGTTTTATGTATTTTTTAATGATTGGGTTCACACATTAGGCTGGGCAAAAGTGGATCTGGGTATATTTTAGTTCAATGTGCTGTGTAAACCCAGTCGTCCTAATTCATTCTGTGAACCAGGGTGGCCTGTAAAGCGAAACGGCTCATGAGTTTGGGCTTGGCATGTAAGGTGAACGTGGCCACTGCGTTAACTTGGGTTTAAACCCACTCTTCAACAGCAAGGGATACCCAGTGGCTGACATGCAGTGAACTAACCACACTGGTGCTATGATTAAGTAAAAGCGGTCACCTTGCGGTCACTTAGTCTATTACGCAAAAAGGACGTGGGGAAGGTATTAAGGTTGAAAGGAACGGAGCTCCATTGTCCATGCTATTATGATGACCCTGTGAAAGTGAGTATTTTTGTGTTCTCGGAAGGGGCCCTGGCCTCCGTGTTTCAAAACGTGTTATTTTATTTCCTAGTGCTGGGCTATGACAAAGCTCCCCTCTGGGGCACCATCCTTATTTCTTCAGGGAGTGCTCTTGTGTGCGCTCTCGTCGTCTGGTTTTTTATCTGCCCAAGAATGAAGAAGAAAATTGAACGTAAGTAGATGAAATATAATTGAATTTGAAGGTGACGCTTCTGCGCAGTTGAGCATTTAGATGTTATGCTTTTAGGTCAGCTATCCCCAGCCTTTTCGAAACCAGGGACTGGTTTTGTGGTGGGGGGTTTTTTCCGGGGGGGGGGGGGGGGGAATGGTTTCACAGGCTCCCTAAATCCATGCATGTTGCAGACAAAGCGTCACTCACTTGCATGGCGGGTTGGGGACTCCCGTTTTACACGACTAAACAGTTGAATCTAAATGTAAATTGAATTTGAAGGAAATGGTGCCCCTCTGATGTGAAATCTTGGAATTTCTAGAGCCATGCATATTATGTTTCTAGCTGGCAATTTCCTTTTTCTTATTCCAACCTATTCCTTCAGAATGACTTTCCTTTTGGATCCTCTTCCAAGGCACGCTTACAAATATAAAATGCAAGTTACTTTCCTCATCCTAAAGTATTAAGCCTTTTACAGAACTCCTGTAACTCAGGCCACAGGCTTCTTATACCAGGCACAGGACAATATATAAGACTATTGCATATAACTGTGGCGGGAAGGAGGAGTTAACATTGCCAAGGATTATGGCGTGTGGATTTCCATATCCCTTGTTGTGATTTGCAGATCTTTGCCAGTTGGTTAAACTTTGGATACAGGCCTCGGAGTAAGCTGGGGAGGTGGGTGGTTTTCTTAGCTGCACCTTGCTTATTTCTGCAGAAGAGATCAAGCCCAGCCCTTCTGAGAGCCCGTTAATGAGGAAGAAGGACAGTCTGAAAGAACAAGATGAAATGAAGGTCACCGACAGCAGCATGGCTGATGTGGAAGACGGGCCCAACCCAGTGGAGGCGCCTCACAGAGCAGCTCTTGAGCCGAGGGCGGTCTCTTTCAACTTGGGAGACCTGGAGGAGATGCCGGAAGGGCAGAAGCTTCCCAAGGTTGAGATGAAGGAAACCGTCATTGACAGCGGTGAGTACAGGGGGCTCCCTTGGGAAGGGCCCCGGGGTCAGTTCAGTGCAGGGGCTGCCGCTCATGGATTTAGAGCAAGGCGCTCCAACCTTGGCGGACTTCAACTCCCAGGATCCCCCAGCCAGCCAAGGTTGGAGACCCCTGATTTGGAGAACCAAGCACTTTGTAGTAGTTGCGTAGCAGCTTGCGCGCTGCTGAGGTCCAACTGCCTCCTTCCTGCCTGCAGGAGCCATGCAGCTTCCCAACGGGAGCCTCGTTCAGCTGAACCACATGGTGAGCAACCACATAGGCTCCAGCGGACATTACCACACTGTGCATAAAGATTCTGGGCTCTACAAGGAGCTCCTCCATAAACTTCACCTGGCCAAAGTGGGCGACTGCATGGGCGACTCCGGAGACAGGCCCCTGCGGCGCAACAACAGCTATACCTCTTACACCATGGCCATCTGCGGCATGCCTCTGGACTCCTTCCGGGCCAGGGAGGCGGACCCCAAGGGAGCAGAGGAGATCGAGAAGCTGACGTGGCCCGGAGTGGATTCCAAGAAGAGGATCCGCATGGACAGCTACACCAGCTACTGCAATGCCGTGGCCGACGCCCATCCCACCGACGTGGACTTGCAGAAAGTGGAGGTGGGGGCCGCCGCTCGGAAGGGCAGCGACTGCTCTCTGGACGAATGGCACGAGCAGGACAAGCCGGAGGTGTCTCTGCTCTTCCAGTTCCTGCAGATCCTGACCGCCTGCTTTGGCTCCTTCGCTCACGGGGGGAACGACGTAAGGTCAGTCTGGCTGCTGTATATCAGCAGCGCTTGTTGCCTTTGCGCACGAGAATTGGGGTGCTTGTTGGGGCAGAATTAGCCTTCCTTTGGCATGTTAATTCCTGTCCCTTTTTCGAGAGAACAGAATTCTCTCGGTCAGGGGGTCTCCAACCTTGGCAACTTTAAGCCTTGAGGACTTCTGGGATCAGAATTCTGGGAGAATTCTGATCTAGGTTGGTGGCGGGAGGGATATTTTCTTTTCTTTTCTTTTGCCACTTTAGAGGGGGGGGGGAGTTATTTGACGTGGTGGACTGACCTGATGTGTGGTCTTCCCTTTTGACAGCAACGCTATCGGCCCTCTGGTTGCCCTCTACCTGGTCTACCAAACGGGAGGTGTGTCTACCCAGGTAGCCACCCCTATTTGGCTTTTACTCTACGGAGGTGTTGGGATCTGCATGGGCTTGTGGATCTGGGGAAGGAGAGTCATTCAGACCATGGGCAAGGACCTCACGCCCATCACACCTTCCAGGTAGGAGTCGTCCACGCAGGATAATGTCACAGCCCGGGGGATGGCCTGCTTGACCCAGGCGCCCGGCTGGAACCGAGTGGGGTGATGCGGGGGCTTCCTGAGGCTCGGAACCCCCCGGGGATCCTTTGGGACTTTTTATCGATCCCACTGAGTTCTCTGCCTTCCCTGATCTCCATATTGACGGCGATTTTCTCCTCCGCAGTGGCTTCAGCATTGAGCTGGCATCCGCTTTGACGGTGATCATTGCTTCAAATGTTGGCTTGCCTATCAGCACAACTCACTGTAAAGTAAGTAAAAAGGACGCCTGCAAAACGAATATATTAGCCCGGTTGGTGGCAGCCATCTTGTTAAGCCCCGTGATTGTTCTGGGCTCCTCCCTGACCCTAGAAAGCTCAGCTCCAGTTCCATTCTAATCCTTGGCTTGAAGGAGAATAATCCTTGACCGCCCTAGTCAACTGTCCACCTATGATATTGATCACCTTTGTCCTTGCAAGGGTCGTACAAGGAGAAATACGTGTGAGAACGGCTATGATGAATGGCATTTCGTTCCGGCTGGGCACCGACTGCCACTTGGTTTAAGTTCTGTCCTTTTGTCTCTTCTGCCCAGGTAGGATCAGTGGTGTCTGTAGGCTGGCTGCGCTCGAAGAAGGCTGTGGATTGGCGCCTGTTCCGCAATATCTTCATGGCCTGGTTTGTTACTGTCCCCATTTCTGGGCTCCTCAGCGCAGCCATCATGGCTCTGTTCAAGTACCCGATCCTGGGAGCCTGAAACGGATGCGCTGAGGGCTTTGCTGCACCAGCCTCGGTCTGCATCTTTCGCCAAGTGGCCGAAAACAGTGTTAAGGTGGCTCCACCAATTGCAAAAAGGGCAGAGTGTATTCCTCGTGCTGTATCTGCTGCTTTGCCCAACCTCGTTCTTGGCACTAGAAAAGTGCTACGTCTACAAATCATTGTGTCTATATTTCTAAAGGTTTTTTTTTTTTAAATCTGGCTTTAAGTTCATATTTAATGTTGTCAGGGGTATCATTCTTCTTTCGCAAGCTAAACACAAACTTTAGTGAGCACAACGAGGAAGAATGTAAGCTAGCAGAAAATGGGTGGCGGGTGCCACTTTTATAAATGAAATCTTTTTAAATAAAAAAAAACAGGCTGTCTGGGATAGATGTATGGGTGGGCAATGATGACTTTACAATAGTTGTGTGTTCTTGATATGATGTGCTTGCAAGTAGCAATACCCAAAGTAGTTGGAGATTACAAAAACAACTGAATTAGTTAAAAAAACAATCTATACAATTTACAAAGCAGAGTGGATTGGCTAATAAGCCATCCTTTTCCCTTTCTGGACGTATTAAGGTTCTTGAAGAAGTAATTTCCTAAGTGTGTGTGTGAGAGAGTGAAAGATCAAAGAGTATCTTATTTAATACTTTTTTGCTACCTGGAATCATTCTTGGAACATTCAGATGAATAAATATTTAACAAATTTTGCAGGAACTGTGTTTGAAAAGTTCTGTATTATATATCTTGTATAGTTCTAAGAATGGAATTAAATATTTCTGCCTGTTAAAAGCCATTGGAATTTTCATTTGACCTGCAGCCACACTTCCTAATTCTTTAAGAATTATAATACTGAATTCAGATGGAATTGCCAGGATGGATTTGATTGTGGGGGAAAAAAAAAATTAAACTGAAGAAGCTGAAACCAGATTTCGGCCTCCCATCTCACAACTGCATATTTTTGTCAAAGCCTGGCCAATGTCTTCAAACATAAGGAATATTTTGGCTGTGATTAAAGATGGAAGCACAACGAGAGAGCCGTTGCTGGCTGGTCTGGTTTGGGGGGATGCTTCTGCCTTTGTATAGTTCTGTGTAAATCAGGGGTCCTGCCCCCACCCTCCCCCGGGCTGCAGCCCACTCAAAACTGGGCTGCGCAAACATCGGGCATGTGCTGCTGCTCCCACAGATGGGAGCTTTGCAGGCACAAATGCCCGTCACTTGTGCAAATGGAGCAGCGCACGCCTGCTGCTCACATAAAACCGTCTCCTCTCCTACCCACCCCCACCGGTCCCCTAAGCTGGAAAGGCTGGGGGCCACTGGTCTATGGCTTTCGTTCAGGGCTCTCTGAAGCGGCAATACCGTTTTATTGAGAAAGGGGAGATTGGAGACGGGAGGAAAATTGTCCCAAACGGTTGGCTCCAGTGCTTCTCTTCCCCGCACCCCCAAACTGCCCAGGTTAACAATCACAAAGACCCTGGTTTTTATTTTCCTGGAGTCACAGAAACAAATACTTCCAAGGTAGTGAGATAAGACATCAGGACATCATCAAAGCAACTTTATGCTTGGAATATTCTTCACAGTAGGTCATTTTAAACCCAGAATTGCTGACTATCTAAATAAGGACATTTTACTAGTCTTATCACAATGGTGCTTAAGCCTTGACCTGTGCTCAGATCCGTGGTTTGGGCAGGTCACAAAACCTGGGCACACCGATACGCAGCTGTCAGTTATTCGCAGCAATGAGAACAATGAAGTTCACAAAAGTTTTCTTTTAAAAAAATCTTTTCCCCAAAAAGTGAGCAAAAATTTAAATGTAAATTAAGAGATAATTGAAATATCAAAGGGATATAAATCCTGATAGATTGCAGGAGAAAAAAGGAAACTCCCTTTTTCCAGAAACCCTGATTATTAAACATTTTGATATTTCTGATTGGAGGGTCAGCATGTCCGAAGCGGTAGTTGTCTAATTTAAACAAAAAACCCTGACGTGATTTGGATGTCAGAGTCTGCCAATTGCAGTAACAGCACAGAGGGAAGGAATGCTGGAGGAAAGACAAATAGTGCTGAATATTGTGTTGGCTGTGCCCGAGGCAAAGCTGTGGGGTGTGTGTGTGTGTGTGTGTGTGTTGGGGGGGGTTGACGAAGACAAGAGGGGAACGGGCATAACTATGCTGTAAATCTGAAAAACAAATATTGCAGACGGAATAAATCATTCTGACCACCTGCTTTTTTGGAAATCCTTAGCGGGGACAAACTATTGGAACAGCCTTTCTCTGTTTCTGCAAAAGATATCGTAAGTCCTGACAGATTGCAGGAAAAAAAAATCCCCAGAATTTCAACACAGTCTCCATCATCTTGGGTTAGGAAAGAAGTTTCCAGTTTGCCAGCAGTTCTCTGGATCAGGATGACCCTCTGCTGCGACTTCCCGAATTGGCTGTTAAGACGCGCCCCGCTTTGGCGAGTGAGAAATGCTGGTGGGCCAGCCGCTCTGCCAGGGGCGATGCCAAGGAATCGGGAGCGGTGGACAAACCTCTTGGTGCTTAAACGTCGGATTGAAAAGGATCAATTGGTCTCGCGCCTCTGACCCGGAATGGGACGTTCTTTTCTATCTGTTCCACAAATGGGACGTTCCCTCCTCCACTCACGCCCCGGTTCTGCCCATCCGTTGCCCCCCCCTGTGCTTTTGGGCTAGGAATACTGATCAGCCAATAGGTTTGGAAGAGTTGACAGTAGAAAGGGAAGCAGCCCATCAAAGAACACGGTTTGGCTGCCAAGACTTGCTCGGAAAGGAAGGGACCTGAATGGATCTAGGGGGAAAATGTAGTTAACTGAAAGTTGACTTTCACTGTTTTCATGTATTTTAAATACACAATATAGATCATATAAAGGTACAGGTTCCTCTCCTTGTAGTCGTTTCCAGCTCCAGGGGGGCAGTGTTCACCTCCGTCGCAAAGCCAAAGAAAAGCCCCCGCTGTCCAAAGACGTCTCCGTGGTTATGTGGCCGGCAGGACTAAATGCCTTTGTGGTCCCTATTTTTCTACCTGCATTTCTTTACGTACGTTCGAACTGCTCAGTTGGGACAAGGAACGGGAACTCACTCCGTGACGTGGCGCTAGGGATTCGAACCCCCAGACTGCCAACCTTTCTAACAGATAACAGATAATCAGAGTTGGAAGGGACCTTGTAGGTCATCTAGTCCAACCCCCCGCCCAAGCGGGAGACCCTACACCATTTCTGACTGATGATGGCAGTCCAATCTCTTCTTGAAAACTTCCTGACTGACAAGCTCAGCGTCTTAGCCACTGAGCCACCGCGTCCCTTATATATCATATAGAACATATTAAAGATAGAAGATCTTCTATATTTAAAATAGTTTGGAATATTTATACATTCTAAATATTACGATGCAAATCAATACGAATTTCTGCAAAATGCTATTCCTGTAGGGTGTGAAGGAACTTGGCTTTTGTGCTGGATAGAGTAGAATAACAGAATTGGAAGGGACCTTGGAGGTCTTCTAGTCCAACCCCCTGCCTAGGCAGGAAGCCCTACACCACTTTGAACAGCCCCCCCCAGGGCAAAACCTCTCCATCCTTCACCCCCAGCATGATCATTCTGATGCCACCTGACACCGGCAAGATTGACGGCTAATTTCCAGCCCAGTGACCACCTGGATCCTCAGTCTGAGAGACGCCTGTGAGGGCAGGTAGCCAAGGAGAAAAATCCTGCGCCGCCGAGGGATCCCTCCTCTGCAGGTGGGAGAGAGCTCGCTCCGTTGGAAGCCGCCTCTCTCTGCCAGCAGTGCAACTCTCCAACCTTGCTTTAAAGCCAGGAAGGAGAAACTTCCAAGTAAAAAACTGGTAATATAGGCAACATTTACGCCACAGGAATAGCAACTTGAAGTTTAAGAAGTTTAGCTACAAATTGAAGTTTTTGAATGTATTTTGTCTTTATGCAAATTTAAACTGCTTAAAAAAATTTTTTGTTTATGATTTCTGATAGCAGATCCAGATGATACAGCATCTTTAAATGATTTTCTCTCCTGTCCAGAATAGATGCAATAGATGCCCTTCTATTTAAATCGATTTATTTGGCGAAGTGAGATGAGACCCACAAGGAATTAATGGGGTCTCCCGTGCAGAAGCAGCTCGGGGTCCGTGCAAAGCAAGAGAATAATGGCGACCACCAGGCCACCGATAAAACGGGGGAGTACTAAAGCGCAGGTAGTTCTCCACTTACAACAGGTCGTTTAGTGACGGTTCCCTAAGCTCCCTGAGGAGGTTGACTGCCTCCCTCGACTTCGGCCGGCAGCCCCGGAGGAGCCGCCGTCGAGGCGCGGCTGGAGCGCCGCCCGGAGCTCGGCCGGGGCGTCGGGGCGGCGACTGGCGGGAAGCCTGGGCGGCCGGGGAGGGGCGGCGGGGCTGGGCAGGGCCGGGAACCTCTCCCCGGGCCGGAGGGGGACACGCAGCGAGCAGCCGCAGCCCGGCCTTCTCCTCCTGGCCGCCGCCGCCGAGATGGGCAGCGTCCCCCTCGAGGTCCCCGCCGCCGCCGCCGCCCCCGAGCCCCGCGGGCCCGTCAAGCGCGACTTCCACCGCCGGTAAGGGCGCCGGACGCTCCGTCGGGGCGGAGGAGGCGGGAGCCGCCCTCGCTCCCTCCGTAGCCGGCGTCGAGCCGAAGCGGCTCCGCCTCAGAAGCCCGGGAGAGCCGGGGGTCCCGCGAGGGTCCCTGGGCCGGAGGAGGGAGGGAGGCAGGCAAGACGCGGCCTTAGCCGGGCCGTCGAGGCGGGCGAGGGGCGTCGGGGTCAAGCCTGAGGGGCGATGAGGCCCCAAGAGGCCTTTCCTTGCTCAGCAATAAAGAAGGTGGCGGGTCCCTTTTGGGGTTGGATCCCTGGAGCTGCCTCAGAAGAGCCTGGACGGCCGTTCGTCTGAAAATGGGGTAGTGGGGGGCTGGACTAGAAGACCTCCGAGGGCCCTCCCGCCTCTGTTATTCTACGTTCTGCACATAAACATGGGAATGAGGTCTGTTTCTAAACTCCATTCTTACATCTTGGCTCTCTTTTTTTAATTTAAGGTTTTTTTTTATTTTGTATTTACAAAAAAACCCTCTTTCATTTAAACAGTGTGTCCACCGGGTACATAGATCTTTTTTTTTTTTTTGTAAATTTTATTTGAGTTTTCACAAAGAGAAAAAAAATACAAACAAAACATCTTTTTTGAAAGTAGCGTAATCCCGGGTTACGTTACTTCGTACAGACACAAATTCAGGTTCATGCTCATTTTTATATTCTATTCCATATCTTATTACTATTTTTCATTTTCTGCATAGCTTCTTCCCTCCTTTAATTTTCTCAATTTTATTTTAATTATCTAATCTCAATTCAAATCATTGTATTCATAGTTTTTGTCTCTCCTGTTTCAATTATCTATTCTCTTTTCTCATTAAACAAAATTTCTCCTGTAGTTACTGATTGGAGTATGACGCCTTTATATCTTTTCCCTAAAGTTGTAACATTCAATATAATACATAACTTCCATTCGGATTCTGCTTGGTACATTCTTAAAATGCACACTGTATTCTTAAAAAAAGAAAAAAAATATAAATGCATATAATGAAAACAACATTCCATGTTGTTCAATTCCATCATTAATATTCAATTCCATCATTAATATTCATTAAAGTCTTAACATCTTTAACATTACTTTTCAATTAAATATCATACTTCTATGGGAACAATTATAAGCTTTCCATAGTTAATTCCCCCCCCTTCACTTATATTTTATAAAACA